AGCGTGGTTATCCTACTTACTACGACATGCTTACGGCAGATCTCGACCTCTGGTTTGGTCAATTTGAAGTATGAGTTCTCAATTTTAATTTTTTTGTAAGTCTTATATTATCAACTTTTTAATTTGATTGTATTTATTTTGTAGCAAGAGTTCACTTGGGAATCAGGGGTTAAAAAAACGGGTGGAAATTAAATTTCATGAGAAAGCGTCTCGGCACTACACCAAGCGTATCAATGAGTGGAAGCAAAAGTGGGAAGTTGACCAGGTACCGAAGAACATGAACCCAACCGTTTGGAAGGATTTGTTGGCTCATTGGGCGAAAGACGATACAAAGTCTATGTCAGAAACCAACTCGGGTAATCGGTGTAGTAAGCGTGGCGGGAAAGGGGCTTATGTCCACAACTTAGGAGCGACGAGTTTAGCGATCTGAACCCTTCAGCTAGTAAGTTTTTAGAATTTTAATTTCTTATTAAATTTTAAATACTTGTTACTAATTTGTATTGTTTTTAGAGGAAGGAAAATGGCGGGGTTCCCGTCGATGATACTAAGTTGTTGAGGTCCGCCTACACCAACAAAAAAACTGGCGAGATTTAGGAACCAGTTATCAAGGAGGTACTCCAGCTCGTTGAGAGTCAAAAAGAAGATATCCTTTCCACGCAGGCTTCTATGTGTGAAGACGGATCTTGCGCTTCTTCCAACACCATAACCGTTGAGCAACTCAACAACCTTGTACTCGAGGTACAGCTTAATTTTTTTTTGGAATTAATATGTGTACATATTTTTTTTTGGACAAACATGCTTTTCATTTCACACTAGATTAGTCTCCAACAATGGAGTTCATTACAGACCGTGTAAAAGAAATGAAACTAAAGGAAATTACATCAAAGAGAGGTACAAAGTGATAGATAACAAACGTGAAACCAAACAATTCAGACAGAACCGCCAAGGATCGGACGTTTGAGAAAACAGCGCATGAAACTGCACGATGGACAGCAACGGATTTCGCCATAAGTGCTGATGATACATGATTGCGAGAATCGCAGAGATTTGGTAGGGATATGGTATTCTCACCCAAGAAGATGACTCCAATGTCGCAGTGCCAAGCCTTAGCATCCCAAGCTGCATTCGCATTGCAGAAGTGTCCTCGTATCTCCACAGCACGAAGAATAGCAGAGGCGATGTGATACCAAGATGTTGAACCTTTGAACATTACATAGAGTGAATCATCTGTTGATAGTGCTACACATGAGCAACAACAATATAAAACCAATGGTGGTATGAAAGTTGGGTTTGGTTTCATCATTGTGGTGATAATCAAGATCTGAACCCACCACATAGCTAAGGATCTGCAAATTAACATTGAGTGGACGATGACAACGAGAGAAGATGGAGAGATGACAGAGGAGAGAACTGTCTGGAGAACGAGGAGGAGAGGACCGTCTGGGGGATCTGGTGGTTCCGGAGGGATGACGGCACAGAGAGTTTCAAGCAGAGCGTACATACAAGGTGACGGCGGCGGATCTGGAGGGGGCCGGAGACACGACGGAGGAGCAGTGGCCATCATGACAGATCTTCAGGAACGGAGAGAAAGAAGTATCGCGGCGGTTAGGAGTGAGACGAGACTAATATGTGTACATATGTGTTTGTTATTCTAGCTTATATTATTTTTCATTCCGCAGGTGGTTCCAAAGAAGAAAGGCCGTTATGTTGGATTGGGTCGTCCAATCGGAGGGACTTCTTCTTCTTCAGCTCACGTATACCCACCCGTTGATGACCTTATGGAGCAGATCAAGACCAAAGATTTAGAGATTGCGTTCCTGAAGAATGACAATGCTGAAATCCGGGTTGAGCTACAGAAAAATAAGACAGCGTTGGAAGATAACATAGCTCTCACACAGAGCATGTTGAAGAAGTTTCAGAACCGCTTCGGTGAAGACTTTTAGTTGTTTTATTTTAAAACCTTTTGTATAACTTTTATGTATAAATAACTTTTATGTATGATTTTAAATTATAACTACTAATGTTTTTAAATTTTTAATTAGCATTACATTTTACTTTTTTTTTAATTTATTTTCACAATTTTAATTTTTTTAATTAATAAATATATATTCCCGACGGGCAAAAGCTTTCGGAAATATTAAAAATACCGACGCAAAGGGTTCGTCAGGATATTCGTAAAATCCCGACGGCAACTGTCCGTCGGTTTTGTAAATTTTCCGACGGCTTGTTTCCGTCGGGAATCAGCTAAATACCGACGACTACTACACCGGTCGGTTTATATTTTTCCGATGAACATTCCGTAAGTATTTTGTCTATATAGTTTTTGTCGGTATTTCGTCGGGAAAATTTGACGAAATACCGACGAATATCTTTTTCCGACGATTTCGTCAGGATTTTGTCAGAATTCATGTTTCCTGACCGAATTCTGACGGTTTTTTCCGTCGGTATCCGGCAGTTTTCTTGTAGTGAAAACTTATAATATTGTTTTAAAAAATAATTCTAAATTTAACTTAATTTTTTTATAAATTTTTTTTTAAAAAAATATGTAAAAATTAGAATTTTCTAATATTATTAGACAAATAAATAAATTATATTAAATTAGTTTTGAAATTTTACATAATTTAAATGCAAATATTTTACCAATTGCTTCTTAAGAAAGCATTAGGGAACTTGCGAAACTCTACCAATAAGCGCAGTGACACTCCGTTTATTTACCATCACTCGAACACTGGAAAGTGAAAAGATATATGAAATCGAGTGCATTAAATTCTAAGCTTTGATCAACAGTTATAATTACAATTGTTTCTATTCTTACGTATAGATAATTATATAAAAATTCTAAAATTCTACAATTTCAATACTGAAATTTTATATTTTAATTACATACATTCACCCTGCGCAAGACACATGTCTTATCCTAGTCTATTCTATTAAAATAGAGTCATTCTTTTTATCTACTGAAGTGTTACAAATAATACAAGTTATAAAGTTGATTGAACCGCATTACTTAAATTAAACCAACGGTTATTTATGGAATAGAGTTTTGGGTTTATTTTTGTTTTTATGACATTTAATTGTTTGGTTTTTGGGCTTAGTATTAAAGAAAAATTTCAAAAACATTAAATAAACTTTCCACCTTAATGAATCAAAAATCAATTACTATTTTCAGGCCCAAAAATATTTAGTATTTTTAACAAAACAAAATTATCTATTATTAATCACTTGTTTAAATCATGTACTTTAAAACATGTTAATATTTTTTAGCCCAAAAATATTTAATATTTTCAACAAAACAAAATTATCTATTGTTAATCACTTATTTAAATAATGTACTTTAAAACATGTTAATATTTTTTATTTTAAATAACAATCACTCTCTCTTGATAAATTTTAATGGTAACTTTTAAATAATTTATTGTTTTATTTTTCTTAAATAATTTACAGATTTTTAAAAAATGTAAAGCAAAACCAAAAACCAAATCTAAAAACTAAAATCCAAAACCAAAATCTGAAAACGCAGGTTATATTTTTGCTTTTTTTTATTTACAAAATAAATTATTTCAAAATTTTTAGAAAATTATTTTGTCATCTTTTCAGTTTTAAATTACATGTTCGATTAATTGAGATTTGTTTGTGGTAATATCAGTTCAAACTAACTCAGCAGATCTAAAAATTAAAAATTCAAACCAAAAGCTGAAAATCAAAAATAGAAACTTAAAAACTAAAAACCAAAAACCAAAATTTAAAAAAAAATCTAAAAATAAAAACTGAAACTAAAAACTAATGAAAAACAACTATCACCACAAATTTTGGTAAACTAATTTTATATCAAAACATTATTTAAATTAAGACAAAACTCAATTATATAAATTTTAATCATACAAAAGCGCGGGTCAAAATTTAGTATTTATTAAAAATCGTTCTAAATTAAACTCATTTATTAAATGAGTCTGAAAACAAAGTCGGGATCATGAATCTTGAGTTGATTTGGCTAGTTCATAATTTATGGCTCATTTTGACAGCCCTGATTTAATTAATTAGAAATTAATAAAAATAGAAAAGATACTATTCGTGCTGCATATAGAAATTTTACGTACCTTGGATCGGAAATCAACATGAGCAAACTCAGCCTTGAAGAAATTCACTAAGAGATCCTTAAAAGAGGGACTAACCGGGCTTGATTTCTCAACCCAAAATCCATTAACCATGGCAATTTTGGGGCCACCGCTCAATGCTGCCGTCTGGGAGAACCACGGCACTGATCTCTCGGAACACAGCCTTGAGCTCATCGATGGAGGAAGATTTGAAGGTCATGATTTGATTTCTGACGTAGTCGGATTGAGAGGTGGCAGCCTCCATGGTGAGCACTGCGTTTAGTGATGCCGGAGAAAAGACAAAGTTAGAGTTTCTGGCTAGGGTTGGGATTACTTTCCCCGCAAGGAACATAGATACGTCGTTTTGCTTCTTCATCGCATTTACCAAATCAATCTCTGTGAGAGATGGACTTGGGGTTACTTGTGATCAGTGGCGGACCCAAGTAACCTTTGCTTGTAAGAGAGAAGTATGTCAAAAGAAAAGTTATAAGAGGCTTAAAATATGTAATATACTTAAAAAGTAAATGCTTTAGAAATGTGTAAATTTTTAGTTTTCTATGATATTTATCTGTTACGATCTAAATACCTTTGCTTGTATACAACAGCACAGAAACTATATGCCCTTGCGACGACAAAAAAAGAACACCCAAGTGAATTAACTGAATACGAATAAACTCTATACGACCTCTAACCAAGGAAAATTCTCGAGTATAAATAAATACGACTAGTTTTGCTAACTTTTAGAATGAAGTTTTAGAATGAATTGTAATATTGTATATATAGAAAAAATAGTGAAATAAGAAACTAGTCTTGAATCTAATTAGCCAATTTAGAAACAACAAAAATTGTAACTTAATAAACAAAACTTGAAACTGCCAAATCGAAGATAACAACACCTGACCAAACCTAAGCAGAAGAAGATTTAGAAGGATCAAACATCTGACCAACGAACAAAACGGTTCCAGTTTTGTCTTCTCTAATCATAAAAAGGAATGGATGATCAGCCACAAAATCTATCTTCCTAGTGTTTTGGCCTCTACCACCACCACCACATGATACAACTGTAACAGCAGCACCTAAGGCACCATCTTCATCGACTTCGACCAAGGCTTTATGGTACAATGAAACCGAAACAAGATCCAATCCATTCAAAGCACTTGAAGCCTCAAACCCGAAATCTATCTTAAACTTTGGGATTCTGAACTGACCAACTTGAACTTGTTTTGTTGGAGTGTGTAAATCCAAGAAACCACGAGTACAAGATGCCATCTTCTTCACCAGAGGAGTCAATCCATCCTTGGCGTCCGGTAGATAGAAATACATTGAGAATTGGCGAGTGATGTCACCGCTTTGTCGAAATGGCAGCTTAAGGACCTTGAAACCGTTGTACTTCTCAATGTATTGCCTCGTACTTTTGTTACTCATGAAAGGCACAGAGACTGATGTGCCACTGAGAAGGTGAAACTTTTTGTCTCTTGTCAAAAACTTTGGGAATTTTTGCTCCCAGGTTCCTTTGAAGTACAATGCGTTTCCATAAACAGAGTGGGTGTCCCTTGTAACGGATCTAGGTGGAAGAATATTTTTGATGAGGCCATTAGTGTGCTTTGAAGCCCAAGCATTAACCTCCTCACGCACTTCTTCGGCCTGAGTTTCAAGTACAGATGATTTATCAAACGCAAAATATGTACCATTAATGGAGATTTATTCACAAACTCTTAACCTAATCTATCTATGATCACAAACACTTAACCTAATTTATCTATGATCGCAAACACTTCACTTAATACAGTTTCACACAAACTCTTAACATAAACTATTTATCATCAAAGAGATAGATTCACAAACACTTAACCTAGTACTGTCCACACAAAAACGTAACTAGTCTATGTCTGATCAAAGAGAGAGATACACAAACACTTAACCTAATACTGTTTCACACAAACGCTTAACCTAATCTATCTATGATTAAAGAGAGAAAATTGACAAACGCTTAACCTAATACAGTTACACACAAACACTTAACCCAATACAGTTTCACACAAACTCTTAACCTAGGCTATCTATGATCAAATATAGAGATTCACAAACACTTAATATTTCACAAAAACTCTTAACCTAATCTAAACAAAGCAAGAGAAACTAACCTTGAATTGGAAATCAACTAGTGAGAAACTAGCCTTGAAGAAATTCTCAAAGAGATCCTTCAACAAGGGATCAACAACAAGAGATTGCTCCATCCAAACTCCATTAACGGCCGCGATCTTAGGGCCACCGCTTGTGCTTCCATCAACGAGGACGTTGGCAGCGACCTCGCTGAAAACAGCGTTGAGCTCATCGATTGAATAAGACCTAAGGAAAGACACGATGGAGGATCTTAGTGTTTCGTCTTTAGAGCTAGCAGCGACCATGGTGAGAACGGAGTTGATTGATGTGGGAGAGAAGACGAAGTTTGAGTTTGTGGCTACGGCAGAGATCACTTTCTCCGTAAGAAACATAGCGACGTCATTTTGCTTCGACATCGCTATTCCCACATTAACCTTTGAGATTAACGAGGGACTTGGGATTACAAGATCCTTCTCTGAGTGAGAGGGACTTGTGGTTATTAGTGATTTGCTAACCTTCTTCTTCTTCTTCTTTACATCAATCTTTGGAAGAGAGGGACTTCCGATTTCAGATGATCTTAGCTTTCGTTTCTTCTCTTTTGGAGACATCTTTTAGGGTTTCTGTAAAATTTTATGAGCTTATATATATATATATATATATCTCTATAATATTATTTGAGAAGTCACTTTCTTATGTGTCGCGCTCAGGTTAACTCTCACGCTGGTTGATTACTGTGATACCCCTAATGAATTAAAACAATTAAATATTATTTCCTTTTTAAAAATTTCCAAATAACAATATAAAATAAAAAGGAAAAAATTATAAAATTTACAAAACTATTTAAAAACGAAAATATAAGTATATATAATATGGTTTAATAAAAAAAAGAAAGTTCACAAAATAGTAATAATTAATTTAAATAACATAAAATATACCTTTGAAGTAATAAATACTTTATATCTATATCTTCTTAGATAACAAAAAAACAATATCTGTATAAAATGAGATTTCATAAAAAAAAATTCACACAAAAAATATAGCTATTAGAAAAAGAAATATTTTTTCCTTAAAAAATAATTTTAAACAATAAAATATATATTTTCAAAATAATTCTTTTTGTATATATCTATTTATTTTGTTAGATGATTACATAAAATAATCAACTAACATAAACTGATATATGTTTAACTGGCATTTTTTTATAATTAGTATTATTGAAATTATATTTTTAGTATATTTATCTGATTATAATATCTTACAATTATAGTAAAAATATAAATTCTATTTTACTTATATAGTATAATTTCTCAAAAACAATCACTTTTTACTGACTATTTTAAGAGATACTAAAAATAAATTTAATGATAAACATCTTTTGATCAAGTAACTACAATTATTTTAAAATATCATAACACTATATAACTTAACGAGGTAGATATATTATATTTTAATAGTTAAAATTATATGTTCTGATGTCTTGCATTATTGCATTGTTTTATCTACTCTTTTGCATACCTTTTCATCATGTAGGTTAGGTTCTAGCCATGTTTAGGTTGCATTTTGCATACATGAGTCCCTTTTAGGTATTGGAGCATCACATGGAGCTTTTGGAAGCATTTGGGATTCATCAGGGGGCTCAAGGGAGGCAAAAGGAGTGACCTAAGTCCGGAGAGAGCCACAGCGACCTGTCACAGCGGGCCTGCCTAGTCGCTGTGACCCAATGCAACGCAGCGGGTAGATCGCAGCGGGTCTTTCCAGCCGCGCGTCTCTCTTTGGAGCGACCTCCCGCAGCGGGCCTAGGAAGCCGCTGTGACGTCTCCTTCGGCAGCGACTGAAGCCTAGCGGGTGTGCCCGGCCGCGCGTTTTCCTCTGGAGCGGGTAGGCGGAGCGGGTACATGCAGCCGCTCCACTCGAATAACTCGCAGTGGCTGGAGAGGAGCGGGTGTGCCTGGCCGCTGCGCGTCTATTTCTTGTGACGATTTTATGATTTTCTAAGGACCTTTTTGCAATTGTTGTGCACGTTTTTTGCACTTGGAAAACCTAATGTTTAAGCACCTGGTAGCCACTTTTGGCAGAGGATCTTTTGATTATTGAAAGAACACAAAAACTCTTGAGAGAAATTGAT